GGTCCCTTCCACTTGCAGTTCATGACCGCGCCATCCATCCAGTCGATGCCCTGGACCTCGCTGAGAAGGGTGCGCATCGTATGGCGACGATTCCCGGCACATTGCAGCGCGCAGACGATTTCATGTTGCGGGAACTCGGAACGGAGCTGGCTGATCGACAGCGTCAGGGGGTTGCGACCTCGCCGTTGACATGGACTCGGTGCGTGTCGGCAGATAGGTGAGGGATGGGACCGTGGTTGCGATCGTAGGCTGCATCTCCGGTTGTGATGAAGCTATAGCAGCAGAAAACAGTTAGCCTCTATCACTTTGTGAACAACTTTGTCCATGCACAACATCCTATAACCAGGCCATCGGACATACACAGTACATGCCTTGACACCAACAACCTGAGAGGCGGTTCTCTGTTCAATGGTTTGTCCACTGAATAGTCGACCTGCTTCTTTTTGGTTGCATTCGTTAGCGACTACTCCGATACAGAATCATGGCTTGAAAGACAAAGCAAATAGAAGCAAAGGACAGTATATATAGCAAACTCATATTTCCTATAGCATACCTAACGACTAACTTAAGATGAAAGTGACAAAGCGACTCAACTCACCATGCCTGTCGTTGTAATGCTCATCCCGTACCAGTGGTTCTGTATCTATTCTCTTCCTCTAATGATCCGATTTCCAGGAGAAGACGGTTCTCCCCCAAGCAGCAGTGATTTAAAGTACTGAGCGATGAATTCATCACACAACTAAATGGCAAGTTTGATCAAGAGTAAGTAATTATGCAGTTATATAATCCGTGCCTTTGGTAACTACAGTAATGTGCAGTACCTACCTACCTACGTCATTGTGCTTGTGGCGGGCGTCAACAGGGGAACGTCAAACCTTAAAAAAAGGATACAAGGTTGGCAGGCATTCCTTGTCGAAGTTAGGGTTCTTTATATTATATGAGAATTTTGTCTGTGTGGAAAAAATACGGAGTACTTTATGAAGTACAGTTACCTCCCTGGGGAATACCGAGGTAGGTACAGTAGTTGTCCACGTGGGTAGTATAATTGCCTGTTCGGGCAAAAAGCTGGCACATGGACATTATGCTGGGCTTGCAAATTCATATCCAAGTTAATAAATATTGTTAACCAACGGCCCATCGACTTTTTATTTTCAAAAAAAAAAAGGAGAGAGAGAAGTAGGGAACTAGATGATGAGGCTAAAAAAAGTGATGATAGAGTGTCAAAATCCCGATAGAATTGAGGCTGATCAAAATTCTAGGTGTTTGATATGGTTCTGTCCTCCTCGTTGTTTCGAATAGTCAGCCGGATTGCTTTAATGTCCAGCATGGACTTCTTTCTCGCAATGTCCTCAGCGTGGGGCATATCGATATATCTCTCACTCCGGCTTTCGCCCATAGACGACGTAACTATAGCCAGAATATTAGCTATACATAACTCGTTGGCAAATAGAAAGTTAGTAGGGATGCACACAAATTAAACAACGCATGAATATTTCGATTACGAGCATCACTCTTCGTCTTGTCCACTAACTCAAGGACTTTTTCTCTAGACCAGGATTCATTTCGGGTCAGGACTGCCATAGCTCCGGCCTCGTAGCCTTGCTCCCCTTGCAGCATCATCCAGGTTCCAATTTTTTTCTGTAAGTAGATATTTATATGAGTATTAGCTTCATGTGTATGAGAGGACAGAGAGAAAAGAATTAAGGAAGGGGGTGGGAAAATACGAACATAATATGGATCTTTTGGCCAGGTGCCCATTGGAACGCGATACTTTTGAACATGGATATCCACAAAGCCTGCCTCTCGGAACCACTGTTCTAGGTGTGGTCCTGGGCTGCCAACGTAGCCATTCTTGTTGAATGCACCTATTACCTCATTAAAGTACTGCTCAAAGGCAGTACCCTTTAGGCTTCCATCCTCTGAGGTAGGATACTGATCCACGTCTTGGAACTCGACCCAGCCTCCTGGTTTTGCGTAGCTATTGAGGTTAGCCTATATACTTAGAGACCAGTTAAAATTAGTTCTTACCGATAGCACTGCTTTATTAATTTGGCGTAATCTTTGATTGAAACTGCAAGATACCGTGCATGGATGAAGTCAAAAGGGTTATTGTAACCCCACTCGGCTTCGATGTCATCGACAATGAACTTCACATTAGGTGGGACCCTAAAAAGAGTTCCATGTTAGCTTTATATAAGCACATTTGAGACAATTGCAGACAGTACTGACATGGATGGTTGAGTAGGACTTAGGTCGCATCCGATAACCTATCTTGAATTAGTTCGGTATGTGATATACAGTGGTATATTATACATGCCTCGGCAGAGGGATATTGATCGGCTATATAATGCAGTGTCGTGAGTAGGTATCCTATGATCTAGGATGGACAACATACCAAAGTCAATCGCCCATATTCCCGTACCTGTCCCGAGATCGATAACCCGCTGTGGTGATTTTATGGGAGCAAGAAACAGCTTCCTGTCCATTATGGCGAGCATCATCTCATGTATCATGTCAAGACGATCGGCTTCGGTCTCGTCGTTGGGCAAGAGGTAACCTATCATTACCATTTAGTCAGGCTCTAAATCAGCCAAAGACAGTATGCTTACTCCCATCCCGATAAGCATGATACCGTCTGCCATTTTCGTGTCGGTAGTTAAGGGCAGAAGATGTCAAGGAGGCAGTGTAGGTTGATCTGTGTATGCCATCTCTATTAGTGCTCTGATTGAACTCTGTGGGAGGAGAAATCGGCTGTTCTGTCTGTAGCTTGACCCTGGCCTCTAAGCCCTTGACTGGAGAAAGTTCTGACTGACAATTCGTCACCGTAGGTAGAATCATTCACCGTGGCCTGGAGTCAAGGCCTGTTAGAAAGAAAATAGATAGTTTGGGGTTCTGAGAAGGGTACGCGCCTGTGTATCGACTTCGACTGGAGCGTCCATTTTTGAAGGGAGCGTCGATCGCAACGGTATGCAGGAGAAGAGAATCGAACCCTGGGTGTGTGTTCAGAGTACTATATATAACATATAGAGTACTCCGTAGACAACCATAACGTACTGAGCCCCGCCACTATTGGATGAGAAAAATAAATTCCGTGTTGCATTAGTAAACGCGGTAATCTACAGACACAGCGTTGTGGCGTGATCTAGCTTCAGTTCGACGGTGCATGATCCTGCGGAAGCACTTCCGCGAGACACCAACACGCGCCACGTGGGGTGTTCACCTGTCATATTCGCGGAAGATCTGCAAGTTGATGATTCTGGACTATACGGAGTACTCAGTACCAATCGACAAATCGTATATCGTGCGGGGAGAGCCACTGGGTGCTGGAGATTTACCCTCTTTGCGATGCGATGGAACTAGCCCCTGGTTACAGGCTTCTGTTTGGGTTTGAACGGCTCGATGTCCTCGAAGAGAAGAACGGTGAATAAGTATATCGCGCAGGATTCGTGGTCTGGCCATTCGGATGCGTTGTATCATGGAGACTTACCCAGTCACAGCTTCGCTTCAGCTAGATGAATCTGCAATTAAGGAGATTGGTGTCAACTGACCCTCGTGAAGGAAGTTCCGTTCATATATCAACTTCACTGTATCGGGATCACCAATCAAATGAAAGTCAGTATAAAATCTGGACCATATTTGCATCCCGCAGCTGGGAACCTCGCCAGAAGCGGGCGGGGAATATCCTTCGAGGAAAGAAGAGTAGACGGCGGGGATGATAAGGACGAGGCGAAGGATATTATTGGAGGACAACTCCGGCAGCTGCTGTAGCAATGTCACTGTCTAGTTGGACTGGCAGCTGGCCAGATTGACAACAGCCCATTCTATGTCTATTGCATGGCAAATCTTGTGGTTTGTTCACCCAAACAGGAAGGCGGGATGTGGGTGTAGGAATTACCTTTTTGGAAAACGGCAGGCGCAACGTTGCATGAGTAAGTTACCTATGATTGCTATTTGGCATCATTTCAGACTTTAGAGTACAGTGATTATCTTCGAAAGCCTCGGTCAAAGGGTGCTCTTTCCAGTGCCTCCTGAATCCTCCAAATCGGTTCGCCCAGGCGAATCAGTACATCTCCGAACTCCTCCAGCACCTTTTCTATACTTTCCGGTTCCCCAATAGCTTCCTTCGGCGTTTTGATCGAGTCTTCTCCGCATCCATCCTTTACAGTCGCTGTCCACCAGGCCCACTTCCATGTCTCTAATGTCCGGAGAGCCTCAGGGTGCTGCGGATTTACGTGCTTTGCCACAAGATAAAACGAGTTCCTGGTCGCACGCTTCCGTTTGGGTTTGAACAGCTCGATATCCGCAAAGAGACTGAACGACTGAAGGAGTCTCAGTTTCGCCAGCTGCTCAGTCGGTGGAGCAGAATGACCAGTGTCCCCCCCGCTCTGATCCTCTGAAGGGCCAAAATCAGCTGCGCGGTGGTCAACCTAGCGGCTTTCCATTCCCTTTGTGATCGCGACAGGGGCTCATGAGACCACAGAACCTGTCCGTCACAGAAGACGAGGTCGAACGAGGAGTTCAAAAACGGTCGTTCGTCCAGGCAGGCTGTGAGATGTGGGTAATTTTCGGGTAGAGGAGCCGGGGGTCCGAACGCTGTCGAGAGCATGGTGATATCCAGGAACTTGACATCAATTCGTGGATCCAATTGCCAGTTCTTAATACGAATCCTGTGTCCGCCGTCCTCGATCGGCAGGCTAATTCCACGGATCTGTGCAGAGGGACAGTGTTTGAGGACCGTCGCTGAATACCCCCCCCGGTGCCATACAGAGATCGAGAACCGCAAATTGTTCTGTTGTGTCTGACGGAATGATACGTTTCTCCATCTGCAGTTCGTCGCTGATATCTGTCATAATGTTGAAGATAGTCTGTTGTATCCAATCCGCATTGCCGGGTGGAGCAAAGTGCGCATCCGCCTCTGGCAGTTGCCATATCTGTTGGAGAACCAGGATCGTCAGAGAATTGAAAGGAAGGGAGACAGCTGGCCTCTCACCTTATCTTGCAGCGTAACGAGATCGCAGAATATCGGGACTCTCTCTGTCAGCCATCTGTTGATAATGGCGTCTTGACGCTCGAGCTCTCGCCCATCGTCTGCAGTTGTTTTGGAGCTCATTTGGTCCGCAAGCTTCTCTAACTTATCAGTCTAGAAAGCTGCAGCTAGTAACACTTTTTGCTCGAAAGTAACCTTCTTTAAGTGGGCTACCACAGTCAGTTGCTGGCCAGATTGGCAAGACTGCAAAAAAACAAAAGAATATCAAAAGGTGCGTACGTACAAGTCAGAACTTGAACACTCGTATTGACTAACCAACGATCTAGTACTGTACAGAAGAGGGATAAGAAAGATGCCAAAAGATCAGAAGGATAGGCTTTTTATAAGTCAAAACAACTCCCCCCCCTACAAAGCCAGATTACCAACTATCTAGACGCTGAAATAATGTAGTTAGCAAACACACCCAGAATCAAACACCCAGTATCTTCTTGTTGTCTACAGAGGAGAAAGACCGTCTTCTTGATATGAGTCTTCTTTTCATTCTGAGCCATATAGATGGCACTCTGTTTCAAAGCGTGCTTAGTACTAGGTATCTATGGATTATGTTCCATCTTCCTGAAACTGTCGTCAAAGGTTCAGTTCATCTCCGCGCTGCATTCAGTCTGTTTATTCTCAACATTAAGCTCTCCTCTCAGCTTCTGAGATGGTTCTTTATGGCACTATCCTCTTGTGCTGATCTATAGTGTGCTTCTTACTGTATGACCGCACAGGTGATGACTGTAGACAGACAGATTCATCCGCATGTATGTATTTCTAGCGCTGAATGATACCAGAACTACATCTATGGCATACATTCTCGTATCATCGAGCATGCTTGATCTCAGTATCACGCCACTGCGTGTCTCATCACATCCCGGAGTATGTTACGACCATCTTCCAGCTTTGCGACTCGGTCCTTTACAAATTCCCTGCGCCTCTTCGCCGAAGTAGGCTCGGAGGCAAGAGCCTGCACTTCCGAATCCAACATCCTGTTGACGACCACAGGCGAGAAGATGTTCTCCAGGCCACGCACGATGTGTCGTTCAATGACTTGTGTGGTGATGTTGGCGACAAACACTTTCTGGCTGACCTATTTAAAATCTCACCATGATTCTGCTCTCTGGAGAACTCAAATTGCGGGTCTCACCTTGTAAATTGCATAGAGGCAGTCCAGAACTTCCTCGCAGCTGTGTTTTTCCATGTCTGGATCCGTGCGTTGTGAGAATAGCCTCATCGCCATATCAACATCGACACTCGCTGACGTGTGATCGGATTGGCATCCAGAAAGATGGTCATAGCGAGTGGCAGCCTCAATGCACTCGGCTAGTTCACCCTTTTCTCTCATGCGGCGACGGCTTTTAATTATGTCAGTGTAATAATGGTTGTAGTTGACGGGATAGCTCTTAATGTCTTCCATGTTGCGTTTGGGTTCATCCGTCGCACCCTTGTACCTCAACTTGAGATCATTCTGGATCTGAGACCAGATCCGGGAGTAGATATCACTGGCAGACTTCTCCTTCAGGAGATCGGCGAGGAACAGACGGCAGGCATCAGCCACTTGGTCTATGTGCGCCATTGCAAACCGCTGCCACTTGGACGACTGTTCCCAGAAGAGTTCTCCGATCACGCGTGGATTGAAATTTCCGGCAAGCTCCCTTCCTCTGGTTCTCAGCATGACTTTGCTAACCCAGTCTAATGCCTCCTTGTTCGACATTCTTTGAGGTGAATTCAAATCCATAGACTGAGAATCGGGAGCCTTCTGCTCCTGAGACTCTTCGCCCGGATCAGTCATTTCATCTGACGGGTCTTCGGTTTCGCCATCGATTTCGTCGTCGGCTTCGTCGCTTTCCAACTTCTCCTGGTCTTCAAACCACTCAATGTGGAATTTGTAGCCTTTCTGGCGATGATGATCAACAAATGTCTGGTTCATGTATCGTACCACTGCGCGGAGTCGTCGAGATGGTACCGGACATGAGATCGAGAAGTCTCGGTCACGGACATTATTGAAGTAGTCACCTTCGTAGTAACCGCTGACAGCTGCCTTGCACACCTCGTAATAACTGGGTCAAATACGCTCGACAGACTTCCGGGCTTACGCGAAAAATCCCCATGGCAGACAGCTCTGTTTTTGCCTCCACCAAAGCAGTCTCCAAATCCTCCTGCAATTTTGGGAGCTCCTGCTGTACGTGTGCAAAGAGAAGCTGGCTGAGTCGGCTGGTAAGGTTATGGATGCCCATCGACTCAGGAGGCAGGGTGCTGAAATTGGGTTTGCGGAAGAGAGCGGCCTCGGAGGCATTGCGTTCCAGCAACGAGTAGGATGACTCTTCAAAACTTCGATTCTTAACCACATGCCAGCCCAGTTTGAAGAAGATGTCTTCGTTTTTGGCCAGGCTCAGGAAGGCGCTCTCTGTTCCGGACCCCCGGGGAACGAGGTCCAGCTTGGTGATGATTCCCAGGGTGCGTTCTCCTTTGGGATCAAAACGTCGGACCTTGGTGAGGATCGGCTGGTTGGCATAGTCGTTTGTCGCAGAGACCACAGCCAAGCAGATTGTGCATGATTGGGAAATATAATGTTCGGTGATCTCGGAGACTAATTCCACATCTTCCTTGGAGGCGTCCTTGGTCTCGGCCTGGATGATGCCCGGCAGGTCGACCAGAGTCAGCTGAGGGCGTTTTGGACCCTCGATCTCGATGCTGAGAATATCTTTCGAAAAGGCGTGGCCAATCTTATCTAGGCCGATCAGTTTTGTTGCTTTTTCCATCAGCGCCGGTAGTTCGCCCAAGTGGGTGATAGACTCGCTGAAGTTCTTGATCTTGTCTTGTTCATGCTGTGGCCGTTCTGAGTCTGGAATCACTCTAACGGTGAGCTCATCGGTCGATGCACGACGAAGGATGATCTCCGTAGCGAACCGTGTGCAAAGGTTGTCGTTTCTTGGGAAGGGGATTTCTGTCAATGCTTCCAGGACTGAGCTTTTTCCAGATGACCGATCGCCACAGACGACCAGTTGAGGCAGTGACAGCACGCTGTCCAGTCCGCATTTGCGAAGTTGGGCAACAATATCAAGGACATGTCGCTGCTCGTCCGTCTGCAGCGCCTCAAGCGATTCAGTGGTGTTTAACACATCAGCAGGGTTATTGACGATGCCATCTTCCTAATTTAATAAAAGCTATCATAAAAATGTTCTCCAGTATTACTTACCTTGTGAGAGATCCGGTGAGTGCATATTTTGCCTGCCGATGAGAAACGATAAAATCAAAGCAACGAGAGAACAGATTAAGGAATCGCTACTTAACACACAGTATCTATGAGCAAGTGAACGGACTTAAGAGTCAAATCAGCTGCAAGCTGCAAGAACAAAGGTTGATTAGGATGATGGAAATGTAGCCAGGTCATGGGAACAGTGGTTGGGGGGGGGGNGGGGGGGTAG